GACGTGTGCTCTTCCGATCTCCCCAAAACCCCAAAACCCCATGTATTAGACATTAAGGAAAGCGAAATAAGAGCGAAAATAAAAATATATCTTGAAATAAACTAGAGTAAAATGGACTTCAATGAAATTAACCTAGGAGAGCTAGGTAGACAAATCTTTGCTCGCTTGCTAAGAGCAACTGCAAGTGATGGATCATATGAAGACGTCTTGTATGAATGTCAATAAAATGATAGCTTATTTGAAGATGAAACCTTTACTGCTGGACCTGAAAGTCTTATTAAGGATTGGAGTGATAAAGCAGTGCAGGATAAAGTTTCAACATGGAAATAATTTAAGTGGATTAGAGTGACTGAAATACCATCTATAATGGAGGGAGGAGTACAGCTTGCTGTTTTCTTAGACAATATTGACCCCTCTGATATAAGACAAGGTTTACTTGGAGATTGCTACTTTCTTTCCTGTTTAAGTGTACTAGCAGAAAATCCTTCCCGTATTATGAATTTATTTGTGACAAGTAAAATAAATCAATATGGAGTATATGCGATCAAGATATGCAAAAATGGTGAATGGAAGGAAGTTGTAGTAGACGATAGATTCCCCTGCTTCCAAAATGAGCCTGCTTTTAGTAAAGCACACGGGGATGAGCTTTGGGTCTTATTAATGGAAAAAGCATGGGCTAAATTACATGGAAGTTATGAAAGGATAGAGGCAGGTTTTGCAGAAAATGTGCTGAGAGATTTAACTGGAGCACCAACAGAATAGGTTCATTCTGATGATCAAGAAATTCTGTGGAAAAAATTAATAGAGGCTGAATCGAAAGGTTACTTAATTGCTGCTAGTGCTGGAACAACTAAAGCTTCAAAAGAATTACTAGAAAAGCTAGGTCTGATTGGAAATCACTCATATGGTATACTTGATGTAAGAGAAGTAACTTTAGATGATGGTGATAAAGAGAAACTTATAAAAGTTAGAAATCCCTGGGGTGATTTTGAATGGAAAGGTGACTGGGGTGACGATTCTGAATTGTGGACACCAAAACTTGAAAAACTGCTTGGCTAATCAGATGGCAACGATGGTATTTTCTTTATGAACTTGGAAGATTTTTGTCATTACTTCAGCAGAGTATAAATTTGCAGAATTAATGACAAGTATAAATACTCTTCCTTTAAATGCAATTAAAACAGAGATAGCTATTGCCTAGTTAAGCTTGTAATTCCATCCGATGGACTATATTCAATCTCTCTTTTGTAAACAGATGAGAGATGCTTTGGAAGAAACGATGACTACGATTATTCAAATGCCAGATTGATACTTGCGAAAATTTTAAGTGATCAAGAAGGGGTTTTAGAGCTAGAATATCTTGGGGGATAAATGGGCTAAACTAGAGATATTTGGAAAGAATATAGCATGCTCAAGAAAGGAGAGTATTATGTATTTGCTGAAGTGGATTGGCAAGAAAAAGTTGATCTTACTGAATTTTGTATCAGTTGCTATGGATCTGGGTAAGCATACTTTATCAGAGATGATAAAGTTTTATATAAGAAGTAGGAAATACTTGCTCAAATTTACAAAAGCTGTGGAAAGCAAGAACAAGAAGGCTCTAAGCATGTAACTTATGAATAGTATCAGGAACCAAATATTCATAAAATTACATAGTTATGCGAAGAAGGTTATGGATTTGTGTTTTATGATAACAAGACTACTGAGAGTACTCTGAATGAAACAGTAACATACAACAAATTTGATGGTCTAACCTTGATGAAACCATATAAAGATTAGAGTTATCAAATAGTAGTCGCACCAGGAGAATAAAAAGTAGTTTTAATTCGCTAGGCTGATCCGTTTGGATATTCAATGGCTTCATCAACTTCCAGTTCTATAGGTTTTTCCAAAGACAAACTTTAAAAATTATGCAAGGAATAAGGAAAGCTTACAAAAAGAGTGAATCCTAGTAACAAGCAAGAACTTGAAATCTATCAATATCAGTACAAACATTCCAGCGGTATCTGTTATTTATATGAGAATAAGACAGTAAATAAGAAATTTGAGGAGCAACTCAAATTTGTGCTTTCAGGATTAGAGATAGTAGAAAAACCTGCTGATGGTACTGACACAGTTAGGATTAAACTGGGACCAGGAGAGACTAAATTCATTGAGCTTAAGTCAGTAGGACCCTAATGGAAAATTCAAACAGCTGTAGCATTCAGTATTTATTGATTTTGGATTGATAGAAAATCATTTTTCATTTAACCTTTATTTCATAAGTCTTACATTTATGGGGTTTTGGGGTTTTGGGGAGATCGGAAG